TTCTATGCTTGCTGTAATCACAAACTTTAGGAGAGACGGGGCAAAACGTAAGACGGGTCCTATTTTCTTAAATGCTGCCATACTACAGTCATAAAGATAGTACTTTTATATTGCATTAAAGCATGGAAAACAAAGTTAGTTAAAATCACATTTAAAAAAAACCCACGTTCAAATCGCCTTCAAAACACAACTCTCATAACTTTTGTTTCAAATTAGCCTTGAAACTTTGTTATTTATTCATGCTGCTACTGATGGCTAATGTTTATCCACCAAACATGTACAGAATAGATAATAGATTAAACCTATGATTTTAAAATTCATTAGCGTTTGTAAGAGAGGCTTCTCACAAAATTAAATGCCAAGCTTTTCTCTTGGTGCGTGTTCAAGATCTCTGATGGCTGATCTTTACAAAATAACTATTTGAGGCCAAATTTGACATGACAAGTCTTAAAACGTGGCACAAAAATACTTTTAAAAATTATTATTCTAAGCGCACAGATTCTTCTCCCATTTTCGGTGCAAAAGAAAACCAATTTCAATCCCCCATTAAAACACTTTTAATTTGAAATTTCAAGTACTAGAAATCAACAACCTAACAAAATGAGGACGCAATATGAGATATGAAGCTTCATAGCCCACCTTTCTTCTTGACTGGCATTCTTCTTCCTACTTCTGAATCTGGTTGCAAGCACTTATTTACAGGTATTAACGATGTACTACTGGAGCACTTTGGGAGGTCAGGAACTGGCTATCTATTGCAAAACACTTTTACAGTTCAGTTAGGAAATGCAGCTTCCGTCTTCATTTCTATCAGTACTTGCTGTTTTCTTGTATTGGACTTCCAATGCTTCCCACAAATAAGAAAAAAAAGGGAAAAAAAAGAAGCTTTTTGATTTTTTTAAGAGATGTTTTCCATTTCTTTAAAATATATTTGAATCTATAAAAATACAAGAGAAAATGTTCCTTGGCAATATAAAACCTTATTATAACTCCTCTTCTGGCAGCAAAGTTTGAAAATTAAAAGATTTTATGTAATACAATTAAGGCACAGTCCATCTCTAGGCAGCTGTCTTAATACTCCACCTGCACATACTCAAAACCATATTATTTGCAGGACAAAAAAGCCCAAATAATCCAAATAAGGAGGAAGACAAAAACAATCCAAAGTGACTCTTCAACTTCTTTCACTTCTTGAATGAATCTTCCTAGCTATGTATTAGGTGACTACACAGCAGACTGAAAAGGTCCCTTTTGCCTCACCAGACAAAAGCCTCCAACCATCACCCTCTTACCCAACAGAAGTCACTGGCCAGTCACTTTCATTTTTATTATCTGCAAGCCACCCAGCCTTACGGTCTCTAATGTCCCTCTGATCCTCCCATGTATTAAAAGAGAGGATTGAAAACGAGGAAAGCAATCCCTTGACCTGGAATTATTAAAGTGACAGTGCTGCTCACGGAGCACTTTGGCAAAGCAGACTGCTTTATACCGGAGTCATTTACTTCATGCCATTTCTTCCCTTGCACAGCAGCCACCTCGTGAAAGAGGAACAAGGAGAGTTAGGAGAAGAGCTTCACAAAAGGTTCATTTTCAGAGATAATGAAGTATTAATGAAATAAAAAGCAAGCCATGAGATCAGTCCGGAGTTTCCCGCTCAGAAGCGCAGCTGGTTGGCTTCAATATGAGCCTCTCCCTCTCTCTCCCTTTTTCTGGAAAAAAACAAAAAGAGAGAAATAGAAACGGGATAGATTTTCCTCATCTAGCTCGTCCAGTATGAAAAAGGTGGACACGCTCCAAACGCGTCCCTTCCCCGCATGAGGAGCTGCGATGCACATGACAGGGCTTTGCTTTGCATCGTCTTCTTGAGGAGATGGAAACTGTGTTTGTGGAGGGGGCGGCTCTGGTTTGCTCGGCAGTGTTCACAGTTGGGATCTGTTTGTCCCCGCTTCCCTCCAGGCAGGGGCTCTCTCCTCCCCGCCCGCTTCTCCCCGTCCAAACGGGGACCGACTGCTGCTTTCTGAAGCGGGACGAGGCAGAGAAAGGCGGGCTTGGCCGGTGGAGGGCTGGGCTGGGGTGCGGGTGAACTGGGGGGGCCGGGCTAGGTGTAAGGAAGAGGACGATTGCCCCCGGGGTGCTGAGGGGATGAGGGAGGGGATGGAGGTGGGGCGAAGCGGGACGCGACGGGGGCTGGATGGGGACGGGACGGGGAGCACAAAGGAGCTGGCGGAGAGGGAAGGGGGCGGCGGGGCGGGAGGGGAGCGGGCGACGCAGGGGCTGAGGGGGGAGCAAGCGGGAAAGGGGTGCGGAGCTGAGGGGAGGGGGCGGCAGGCAGCGCCCGGCGCGGGGTGCCGAGGCCCGGCTGAGGGGAGGGGGTCAGCGGGGTG